GAGGAGGAGAAGGAGGAGGGGGAGGAGTGCGAGTACGAGTACGAGTACGAGTACGAGTACGAGTACGAGTACGAGTCAAGCTAGCCAGCTCGAGCGAGTCAAGCATGGCATGCCCAGTCCCACCCGCCCTCCCACAACATAAGAAGCAAAGCTGGCACAACTGGGGGCCGAAGTCACACGGCCAGCCGGTTTGGTACAGCTGATGCGGCCGCGATGGCGGTTGCCGACGGGAACTGGCGAGCGCGTGTTGAATGCCGCGCACGCATTGCCAGACGAGTCGAGAATGGCCCGGTACACCGCAGGAAGCCAGAGGTGGCCGGAGGAAGCCCGACGGTCTGACAGGACACCCCAAAGCATTTTTGTGAAAAAGCATTGGGTTTTTGATGTTTTTATGTTGAAATGCTTGCAAACACACGGTGTTCGGTAGGATTCTGACATGAACGCGCGAGTGTGCTCTTTGTGGTATTTTTTGCACAGGATTCGCGGCCTGGGTGCATGACAGAGCATCGCGAGTGCACCGCGCGATGACGTGAAATCGCTGGATTTGACCGAATTCTTAAGATTCCTATGGTTTTCCTATGATTTCAGCCTGGCGGGAAATTTGTACAATTTTTGTGAAAAGGTATTGGGTTGTTGAAATGCTTGCAAACACACGGTGTTCGGTAGGACTCTGACATGAACGCGCGCGTGTGCTCTTTGTGGTATTTTTTGCAATGGATTATCGCCGTGGACGACAGGACGTCCATGTCGAGAGGAAAAAATAAGAAAAATGTTGATTTTGTATTGTTTTTTACAGGTTAGGATGGGACCACCCGGATGCGGCCCCTATCTGCCGGCCTGAGGGGGGAGTAGGAGTATATTCTAATAAGGAATAAGGATACGAGTACGAGTACAGTACGAGGAGGAGGAGGAGGAGGAGGAGGAGGAGAGGAGGAGGAGGAGGAGGAGGAGGAGAAGGAGGAGGAAGAGGAGGAGGAGGAGGAGGAGGAGGAGGAGGAGTGGGAGAGAGGGGACGACAAATCGGAGAAGGAGTGCCCACAGAGGGTAGCAACAAGGGCGTCAGAAGGCGGACTCGAGGAGACAAGGGCGGGGGGGCGGGACGGGAAGGGACGGTGCGACGGACAGAATAAAGTGATCGCGGCGGAGGGGGGCGGGGTGCAGAGGGCACTGGGCTGCTGGGGAGGAGGGGGGCGGTGGAGGCGGTGCGACGCCGAAATGAAGTAGTCGGGGCCCGAGGGGGAGCGGGGTCGGGGCGGATGGGGGCGGGGTGCAGAGGGCACTGGGCGGGTGGGGAGGGGGGAAAGTTCGTGGGGGAGGGACGGTGGGGGCGGTGCGACGCCGAAGTGAAGTGGTCGGGACGTAGGGGGGCGGGGTGGAAACGGGGCTGGACGGGGGGTGGTGCGACGCCGGAAGAAAAGTGATCGGGGAGGAGGGGGTCAAGCCGGTGGTGGTGGTGATTGGTGCGGGTGGATGGGTGGAGGGGCGGGAGGGGCGGGGCGGTCGGGGCTGTGCGACGCCAAAATGAAGTGGTCGGGGCGGAGGGGGGCGGAGGGGGGCGGGAAACACTGGGCGAGGGGGAAAGGGTCGTGTGGGCGGGACGGTGGGGACGGTGCGACGCCGAAGTAAACTCGTCGGAGCGGAGGGGGGCGGGAAGCACTGGGTGGGTGGGGAGGGGTGAAAGGGCGGAGGGGGGGGGTGGGGGCGGTGTGACGCCGAAAATAAAATGGTCGGGGCGGAGGAGGGGGGGGTGCAGAGGGCATTGGGCGGTTGGGGAAGGGGGAACGGTCGGGGGGGCGGGACGGAGGGGGCGGTGCGACGACGAAATACAATGGTCGGGGCGGAAGGGGGCGGGGTGCACTGGGCGGGTCGGGGGGGGGCGGTCCGAGGGGGCTGGGCGGTGGGGGCGGTGCCACGCCGAACTAAAATGGTCCGGGCGGAAGGGAGGCGGGGTCGGGGCGGACGGGGGGGGGTAAAACCGGCACTGGACGGGGGGCGGTGCGACGCCGAAATGAAGTGGTAGGGACGGAGGGGGTCACGCTGGTGGTGGGGGTGGCTGGTGTAGGGTGGAGGGGCGGGAGGGGCGGACTGGTGGGGGCGGTGCGACGCCAAAATAAAGTGGGGGCGGTGCGACCCCGAAATAACATGGTCGGGGCGGAGGAGGGCGGGGTGCAGAGGGCAATGGGCGGCTGGGAAGGGGGTAAGGATCGGGGGGGGCAGGACGGTGGAGGCGGTGCGACGAGGTGGAGAGGGCACTGGATGGGGGGCAGTGTCGCGCTGGTGGTGGTGGTGGTGGTGGTGGTGGTGGTGGTGGTGGTGGTGGTGGTGGTGGTGGTGGTGGTGGTGGTGGTGGCGGCGGCGGCGGCGGTGGCGGTGGTGGTGGTGGTGGTGGTGGTCGGTGTATTAAATGGTCGGGGCGGAGGGGGGCGGGGTGGACAGGGCACTGGACGGGGGGCGGTGTCATGCTGGTGGCGGTGGTGGTTGATGTATAAAGTGGTCGGGGCAAAGCACTGGATGGGGGCTGGTATCACCCTGGTGGTAGTGGTGGTTGGGGTGGTTGGGTGGGTGGGTGGGTGGGTGGAGGGGCAGGATGGGCGGGGCGGTGGGGGCGGCGCGACGCCGAAATAACGTGGTCGGAGCTCTAGACACCCGCCGATAATACATCTGGTCCAGAGCGTTCCCGAACGCTCTCAGAGCGTTCCGGAACGAGAGCCCGGCGAGGGCCCCCAGAGGCCGAACATAGCGAGTAGCCTCCCGCCGTGACTGCTCTCATGACTCCGAGGGGGGTCTCGGCGCGCCGCTGCGAGGCCGCCGCTGGCCCCCTCGGCCACGAGCGCCCGCGAGGCTGCCCTTGGGATGATGATGATGATGATGATGATGATGATGATGATGATGATGATGATGATGATGACGATGATGATGATGAGGAGGAGGAGGAGGAGGAGGAGAAGCAGGAGCAGAAATAGGAGGAGAAGACTATTGGGGACTATTGCTTAGTCGCGTAGCGATGTGGGAGGAGGAGGAGGAGGAGGAGGAGGAGGAGGAGGAGGAGGATGAGGAGGAGGAGGAGGAGGGGGGGGAGGAACAGGAGGCTACTGAGGCTACTGATGACGCCGCCCTGTTAAAGGGCGCTGGCACGCAGGCCACGCGACTCGGGCCTACGCCGAAACGCACTAGCCGAGCCCAATGGCCCAGCGAGAAGTTACTGGCAGGCTGCCCGCTACGACTCCTGCAAACAGGCAGGAGCATGGCAGGTAGCCCGCGCCACCGCACGAGCCGCGGCCCGGCGGGAGACCAATATTTTCGAGCAGCGCCCAGCGGCGGCGACCCGCCACGAGCGGAAAACCGACCCGGAGGCCAAAACGAGGCGAACCCAGCAAGGGCGCCACCACCCCCACGGGACAACGCCCCAAGAAAAACACACAGCCTCGATCGCAGGCCAGCCTCACTCGGGTAAGAGGTTCTCGTCGACCCAGGCCTGACCGAACCGCTTCGCGGCGAGCTGGCGCAACTCGCGGTTGGAGAGGCTGTCAGGCAAAAAGCCCGCCGTCGCCGTAACGCCGGGTTCCTTGAGCGCCGTCTCCTCAGCCTCCAGCTCCTCATGCTGCATCGCATCCATCTCCGACGATAGCTCAGACATACCGTTGCCGATGCTGTCGCCTACCACGCTGGACTCCGTCCCGCCATAGCCGACGTCCTCGCTGCTGGGGTTCAGCTCCTCAAACCTATTGCTGACCTTCACCGCATACGTGACCTTCAGACCCTCATCGACGCTACCGCCCTCGTGCACGCTAGGCTCCGAGCCGCCGATGCCTCCACCGCCACTGCCTCCGCCAGTGATGCTTCCGCCTCCAGAGCTCACAGCCGCCGATGCCTCCGTCGCCGATGCAACCGCCACCGCCGCCAAAGCCTCTACTGATGCAGCCTTCTCCACCTCCTGCACACAGCCGCCGATGCCGCCGCCGCCGATGCATCCATCGCCGATGCCTTCAGCGCCTGGGCTCTCAGCCGCCGATGCCTCCGTCGCCGATGCGACCGGTACCGCCGACGAGGCCTCTCCTGCTGCCGCCTTCTCCTCTTCCGGCTCACAGCCGCCGATGCCGCCGCCGGCAATGCCTCCTTCGCCTATGCCTTCACCGCCCGGGCTCCCAACCGCCGATGCCCCCGCCGCCGATGCGACCGACACCGCCGTCGGAGCTTCTCCTGCTGCCTTCACCTCATCCTCGTCGGCCTGATCCATGCCGAGGTTGAGCTCGATGCCCTGCCCCTGCGCACACCGACGAAATAGCTCCCATTCGGAACCCCCAGCGTGCTCATGCCGTCGCTGGGCTGGACGTCGCCGTCGCTCTCGTCGCCAATGTCGTGCCACGACGTGACCTGGCAGCCCATGTACTTGGTGGGGCCTAGTTCACCTCCCAAGGACCAGCTCCTTGCCAGTCGGGGGGCGGCCTCTGGTCCCTGTCCTTCTTGTCCTTCTTGTCCTTCTTGTGCTTCCGATCCTTCTTCTCCTTCTTGGCCTGGCGCGACCGGCTCCTTGACCGGGTCCTTAGCCGGGCAGTCAAGCCACGAGTAGGGCTGGACGATTTCCTCCTCATCGACCTCGATGGCGGCCCTGCCACCTCCCAGCTTCCAGGGGGCGGTTCCAGGTCCGCCAGGGCCAGCAGCACCGGTGGCGGCGCCGACGGCGCCGAGGACGGCCTTGCCGTCGGGCGCGGCCGCGCCTTGGGTGCCGCCGCGGTCAAACCGAGGGCCTTGGCCGTCGCAGTGACCGCTGCCTCCACAGCCGCGCTGATGACCGCCGCCTCCCGCGACGCGCCCAAACGCGCGACTGGCGCCAGGGGGCCGATGCGGCCTCCTCGCTGTCCGCCCATGCCATGCAGGCCCGCCGCGGCTGCGCCGCTTCGAATCGCGCCGCGGTCCCGCCCCCCTGCCCAGGGGCCGAAACGGCTAGGAGGAACAGGAGGAGGAGGAGGAGGAGGAGGAGGAGGAGGAGGAGGAGGAGGAGGAGGAGGAGCAGGAGGAGCAGGAGGAGGAGGAGGAGGAGGAGGAGGAGGAGGAGGAGGAAAAGGAGGAGGAGAGGGAGGCCTGCGGGGGGCCGCGTCAGAGCGCCGCCTGCAGCTCCAGGCGGCGGAGGTCTTCGAGCAGAGCGGCCGCCGTGGGCCGGCCGGCCTCGCTGTGCGCGAGGCAGGGCTCCAGCAGAGGCCCTGCGCCGGGGTGCAACTCGCGGGTCCAGCCGGTGGCGAAGGGGCCCTCCTCGATGGGGGTCCAGGGGCACGCAGATCAATATAGAGACACGTCCCATGAGTCCTCATATTGAGTCGGGCGTGTCCCCCTACAGGGGGGATCTTCGACGACAAGTAAAGAAGACTGCAAACATACTCCAAAATGGTCCAACAAAAGCGCCAAAAATAGTCCCCCGACTATTTTTTTACAATTAAAAAAATCCCCCTGTAGAGGGACAGGCCCGACTTACTCGAAATATTTTCCGATAGTTTCTGGGTTGTCGTCTTCCCCCACTTCCAGGACTGTCTGTGTTTGTGTGTTGTGTGTTGACGATGAACTGTGTCTGTGTTTTTTTGTTCGCCTCTGACTCCTGCCGGACCAGAAGCTTCGCCGCCACCTGCTGGAGGCTGGAGCAGTCTTCGTGCGGCTGGCGGCTCAGGACGGTCTCGACGGCCACGCAGCCCAACGCCCATATGTCGACCTTCTCCGTGATCCGGCAGCGCGAGTCGAAGGCCTCTGGCGCCATGTACCGCGGCGAGCCGCCCTCCGTGTCCCGCCTGCTGATGTGCGTCTTGTCCATGGGCTCCGCCAGCCCGAAGTCGCACAGCTTGGCCCTCAGCTCTGCGTCGAGGATCACGTTGGCGCTCTTGAGGTCCCTATGCACGCACGGCGGCCTGAGGCTGTGCAGGAAGGCCACGCCCTCCACGACCTCGAGCACGATGGACCACCTGTGCGCCTCTGGCAGCGCCGCCCGCCGCACGTGCAGCAGGGCGTGCAGCGAGCCCCCCACCGCGAGCTCCGTGACGATGCAGACCATGGGCAGCTCCAGCGCCACGCCGATGAACCGCACCAGGCGCGGGTGCCGCAGGGCCCGCAGGTGCCCCACCTCCTTCTGGAACTCGGCCAGCTGCCCCGCGGTGACGCCACCGCCCTGCGTGGGGTGCAGGCGCTTGATGGCCACCTCCTCCCCGCGCAGCGTGCCCCGGTACACCGTGCCGAAGCCGCCAGAGCCCAGCGGCTCCCCAAAGTGCAGCTCCTGCATGTTGAGCCACTCGCTCTGGGAGAACGACATCATGCTCCCCCTGAGATCCGACGCAGCGACAACATTGCAACCTCGGTCAGAGTCGCGCCCCGAAGACCCCCGCTTTCTGCGCCATTCTTCGAGCCAGATCGATCTGTGCGGGCCCGGGGGCCCGAAAAGCGAAGGCGAGACCTTAGTGGGCCCTGGACACGGCAGGGCCGTTTTTTCACCGCTTCCAGAAAAAATGTCCCTGGGAAATGAAAAGGGCAAAAAAACGGGGACCGGAAACAGCAACAAAAACGGCTCCAGGATTGGAGCCGGAGCCGGAACCGGCCAAAACACGGGGACGGAACCGGTAAAGAAACGGCGTCGGAACCGGCAGAAAAACGGCAAAACGGAACCGATGAAAAACGGCCCTGTCGTTCCCAGGGCCCGAAAAGCGAAGGCGAGACCGCCTGGCTCGAAACAAGTGTGACGGGGCCCTGGGACACACAAATAAATACACACAAAGAACAAGATTCCTCATTTTTTCTTAGATTTTCTGGGTTTTTTGATCTTCCCCCCCAGTTCCCATATTCTTCCCTATTTACCTGGGAGTCGACGACTAACCCAGACCCCCGACGTCATGATTTTTTCATGACGTCGACCCCCAAAGGTCTGGACCCATTCCCCAGGACCGGTTTTTCGTCCCGAGTCGTTTTTTGACGGTCCCGAGGGCCGGTAAGGGCCCCCAGAGGCCGAAAATCATGAAGAACCTCCCGTCGTGATTCTGTTCATGACTCGAGGGGTTTGGGAATTTCGGGTCGGGCGAAAGGGGGGGATAGCAAAGGGGGGGTTTGAGAATCAGCTCACGTATAGCTGATTTTCCCGGCGCCTCCTGGCGCCGGGAGGCGCCCATGTATAGCGAGGAATGGGCCCCTCGGGGAGGCCGAAACCAGCCGCAGGCAGCAGATTTCGTACCCCCCCCCCTTTCCCAATCCCCCCCTCTCGCCCGACCCGAGAATTGTGTCCCCGAGGGCCGGTAAGGGCCCACAGAGGCCGAAAATCATGAAGAACCTCCCGTCGTGATTCTGTTCATGACTCGAGGGGGTCTGGGAATTGTGCCCCTGTGCTTTCCCCCCCCTGAGAGTGGAGAGAGGCCAGGCTCTCCGGGCCTGCCGGGCGGCGGCGCGGCCGGCGGGCTGGGCGCCGGCCCCCGCGCGCCGCGCAGGGCCGGCGGCCTCTGAGCAGGGGCCGACCGCCCAGGCGTTCCCGTATATAGGCCTACCACGACATGCTGCTTCCCAGACCCCCTCGAGGCATGAACAGAATCACGACGGGAGGTTTTTCCAAATTTTCGGCCTCTGGGGGCCCTGACCGGCCCTCGGGAACGTCAAAAAACGACTCGGGACGAAAAACGGGTCCCGGCGAATAGGTCCGGACCTCTGGGGGTCGCGTCATGAAAAAATCATGACGTCGGGGGTCTAGGACGACATGCTCGGGTCGGGCGAACGGGGGGGATAGCAAAGGGGGGGTTTGAGAATCAGCTCACGTAGCCGATTTTCCCGGCGCCTCCCGGCGCCGGGAGGCGCCCATGTATCGAGGAATGGGCCCCTCGGTGAGGCCGAAACCAGCTGCAGGCAGCAGATTTCGTAACCCCCCCTTTCCCAATCCCCCCCTTTCGCCCGGCCCAATTCTTGGAGCCCAGAATCGGGGAGACGTAAGACCCCTGTACAGGGGACTCGGAGATCCCCGACGAGGTCGTCAACAAAAATGACGAGTCCGAGCCTGCATTTTGACGAGGCCTCCCGCTGCAGACATCCCACGGAACTCCTCCTCGTCAAAATCCGAGGCGCGGTCGCCGAAAAACGGTGGCGAACCCGAGTCCTGGCAAACCCGGGTCTTACGCTCCCCCGACAGAAATGTTCTAATCCGCGGGCCCCCTTGTGGGGCCACCAGGCTGTAGGCCGGAGGTTCGCAGTTTCCAGTGCCAGTTTCCACTGTTACAGTTCTGCTTCTTGCTGCTAACTCTTCCTTGTTGACTTCTTGCTGCTTGCTGTTCCTTGTTGATGGACCGCGCGAAGGGGGGAGACGTAAGACCCCGGTACAGGGGACTCGGAAATCCCCGACGAGGTCGTCAGAAAAATGACGAGGCCGAGCCCGCATTTTGACGAGGCCTCCCGCTGCAGACATCCCACGAAACTCCTCCTCGTCAAAATCCGAGGCGCGGTCGCCAAAAAACGGTGGCGAACCCGAGTCCTGGCAAACCCGGGTCTTACGCTCCCCCGACAGAAATGTTCTAATCCGCCGGCCCCCTTGTGGGGGCACCAGGCTGTAGGCCGGAGGTTCGCAGTTTCCAGTGTCAGTTGCAGCTTCCAGTTTCCACTGTTACAGTTCTGCTTCTTGCTGCTGACTGTTCCTTGTTGACTTCTTGCTGCTTACTGTTCCTTGTTGATGGACCACGCGAGGGGGGAGGCACAAAACGAGCATTTTTCCACGCCCAAATCGTATTCTCTGAATTGCTGGGGTGGTTACAAATTAATACCCCTCACGCAGATCGGCGGGGTCAGGGTCGAAAAACACATGGGACTTGCCACATTTCTAAAATTCGGTGGCACCCCTCACGCAGATCGGCGAGGTCAGGTTCAAAAACATATGGGATTTGCAACTTTTCTGAAATTCGGTGGCACCCCTCACGCAGATCGGCGGGGTCAGGTTCCAAAAACACAAGGGATTTGCCACATTTCCGAAATTCGGCGGCACCCCTCAAGCAAATCGGCAGGCACAGGGTCAAAAAATATATGAGATTTGCAACATTTCTGAAATTCGGCGGCACCCCTCAAGCAAATCGGCAGGGTCAGGGTCCAACAATATATGAGATTTGCAGCATTTCTGAAATTCGGCTGCACCCCTCACGCAGATCGTAGGGTGCACCCCTCACGCAGATCCGTAGGGTCAGGGTCGGAAAAAAACAAACAGGTCCCGACACTGCTTCACGG